TGGTGCTGGTGCTGGTGCTGGTGCTGGTGCTGGTGCTGGTGCTGGTGCTGGTGCTGGTGCTGGTGCTGGTGCTGGTGCTGGTGCTGGTGCTGGTGCTGGTGCTGGTGCTGGTGCTGGTGCTGCTGGTGGTGGTGGTGGTGGTGGTGGTGGTGGTGGTGGTGGTGGTGGTGGTATTAGTAGTAGTAACTAGTCGTAGTCGCATCAATAGCAGCAGCAGGAGGAGTAGTAGTAGTAGTAGCAGGAGGAGGAACTAGGAGTAGTAGTCCTACTACAGTCCTACCAGTACTACCAGTACTGACTACGTGTAGTACTTACTTAGTACTACCCCCGCCCCCCTGCTTCGTTATTGCGTCCATCGACCAAAATTGCAAAACCTGTTTGCGTCCTCTATTGTCAGTGCAATATTTTGACCACAAGTCAACGCCCCTTGCCTTCCCAAACACGACATGCTTGCCATCCAAGTGGGGAGTTGCTTTGACCGTGATGAAGAACTGAGAGCCGTTGGTGTTCGGACCCGAGTTGGCCATAGAAAGGAGCCCTTTCTCTGTGTGCCTCATCTGGAAGTTTTCATCCTTGAACTTGGCACCATAGATAGATTCGCCTCCTGTGCCATTCCCTGCAGTGAAGTCCCCGCCTTGGCACATGAAGCCAGGGATGATGCGGTGAAAGACGCATCCCAGGAAGTTCAACCTCTTCCCTGACTTCCCCCTTCCCAGTTCACCAGTGCAAAGTGCCCGGAAGTTCTCAGCGGTCTTGGGGACGACATGCGCAAACAGCTCAAACACGATCTTCCCGATCGGCTGATTGTCCAGTGCTATTTCAAAGTATACCAGCGGGTTCTGCGGCATCGCTGCAATGCCCGGCAAATCCCCCGGGCTATCTCCCCTGAATACCAGCAGCTGCAGCATGAAGAGGACACTGATGCACGGCTATAAGTCTATGGCAGCAGTACATCACGAATACGTAGGCCTCAGCATGGCATTGTTATAAGAAGCTGGTAGTCCTCATGCACAGGCAGGTAATGGCTAATCTTTCGCAATTACGATGGGTACCTTCGCATCTCACAGAGAGCGCTAAGTCTATCCCAGAAATTTATCAAGTGCATTGCTTCAAGGCTGGCATAGTAAGTCCCAAGCTTGGGCTACAGGACAGATTACCCACCTCCTCAACATACCCGGGCACCACATGAAACTCGGCAGCAATTGATCACTTCACAGGTTACTGGTGCGCTGCATGGCTTATCTTACGGCTTTCCCTGTCAACGTCAGCATGAATGCAAGCTGAAGGCGATGCCCAACGCAACCAAGACACAAATTCAAGCGGTGACAGCAATACAATCAACTCTGCACAAGCTGCCTAAGACTTTTGAACGACGGCGCGGTATGACACGATCAACGAACATCGGCCCAAAGCCGAATCCCCTTTTGCCAGCCCATGCTTGAACTGCGGCAACAGGTTGCATGTTGGCCCAACGGGTCTTCTTGTGCATGCTTCCACTGGTCCAACTGGGAAAGCGTGCATGCTCAGGAGATGCAGGAGCCAAGGACAGCGGGGACACCCAACGGCACATGGGTCTGTCTCCAAGCCGAAGCTCTCCCTGTCAAAGGCTCCTGCCCGTCTCAAATCCCCTTCTGCTTGTTCATCATCCAATGTTCAATATGTTGCGAGCTTTCGTGCCAACCTCTCGGGGAAGCTGTGACAGCCTCGTATGCGAGGCAAGCATCGTGGCCAGCTGCCATCCAGGACAGAGATCCCTGGAAAATGATGTCTAAAACTCAGGGAATGGACACACAGCTTCAGTCGTACATGCAGATGCTGACATCTGGTTGAGGATGTTGACAGTGCCCCATGGCTGAGCACCTTCTCTTGGTGATCCGGCCCTCAGAGAGACGCGTGGAAACTCGCTTCCGCGGAGGGATGCAAGGCCAGTATCAACGAGAAAGTGTTGTTCCACCTCTTGCTCGAAGATGAGATGATCTAGACATAGCCTGCAGCTACGCGAGACTCTTGTCTGCCCTGTGCAAACCGCAAAAAAAAACAGACGAAAACTCCAGGAAACATATAAAGGCAACAGAGCGGTGGACGCCTCTCATCTGACCGATGAGTCAGGACTAGGTCAGGAGCACAACCCTGAAGAAAGTCTCTCATGCTCAAAGCCAGATGGGAGTTTCTCTAAACCATGCGTCATCCTTCTGGGGATGCCTATAGTGAGGGCACGTGTTGGCTTTTGGTTTGGTGGGATGCTTAAGGATCCAAGAAGTACCCAGATCTTCCACACACAACACCTCGCAACCATGCAGCCCATCGCCGCCATTTCAATGGTGCCTTGGCTGTCTCCTTTTGGAAGGCAAAAGCGCCTAGCACTCAAAGGCTGGCCTTGGGGCGTATCACTTACCTGTAGGGCCAGAAGTACATGCTTCGTGGTTTGGGCATGCGTGGTTGTCGTCTTGTGAAGCCATGTGATGGAATTGCCTTCTTGACGCTTCGAAAGTTCACACAAATCTTTGAACTGCGCCAAGCGACGCTGGGAGAAGTGGCAGAAGGCCAAGCAAGCTACCAGAAGCAAGTGCAAGCCATTCCAGAGCTGATGGAGCAAGATGGCCACCGGCCTAGGCAGAACTTTGTTTACAAAACTACCTGAGAGTACCAAAGCTGTGAGGCATGCTTGACGTGCTGCTACCTCTTGCATTGATACCCTCGCTACCAGCGCAAAGCCAAAGGCTGCAGGCCTAGTAAACCAAGTCTCAAGGATCCCGTTCTCCTCAGAGTCCTGGGTGCAAAAATTGCTCTCCCAGCCCCCTCCACCCGCATCGCATGATGCAAACTGAGGACATCGGAGCAAGGCTCAGTGCGAAAAGCGCACCCATCGCGGCACTGGGGATCAGCGGGCGAAGTGGCCAAGGCTGTTGAGGATGACAGTGAAAGAGTCCAAACCTAGAAAATCTCAGGTACAGGGGAAGACCAGAGCTGTATTAACTTTGCGCAAACCTTACGACATGCTCTTGGTTTCCCCTGCAAGACAGCAGCTCAACGAAGGCAATTCCAGGCAGAGCTCTTGCCGCCCCGCAACAGAAAGCTGCTCCAAAAGATTGGTCTTGATTTAGCGAAGGCCAAGAGCAGGAAGCCACGGAAGAACAGCCTTGGCTGAAGCCAGAGGAAAACCAGGAATTGCTCTGCAGCTTGGGTGCTCTCCTCAATTGTTGTGCCCGAATTCGTCCGCACAATTCAATTGAAGCACAATCGAGATTCATGACCAATCTACCAGCGTTCTAGGACCATCTGACTTCGACTTACCAATGCTTTCTGCATGCTTTCTGTATGGACAGGAGGCTCTTCAAAGGCTGGGGCCATCACGCCCACGAGCAAGATCAGGCTGGCGACCTTGAGCGTGCCAACAACAGCTTTGCTCAAAAAAAGGGCTGTGGTGTTCTTGCAGGGCCTTAAAGTTTGAATAACCTCTGTATGGGTGACAAATTGTGTGCTGAGGCTCTAACTGAAGAATGGCTGACGATTCGCAACTACCACGCCAAAGGATGCAACGTTGCCCGTTTCATGGATTGCTCAGCCCATTTCCTAGTAAGACAATGCAACGGCCCAACTGGAAAAAGTTTAAATCACTATATATCCCCGGTTTCCATTTCATTATGCATGTTATGTTCCATTTGATTCTCTATTATTGGGGTTGTAAATTCCTAAAAACTCCTAAATTTGGGAAACCCTAAACGCTAAACCCTATATACCCTCGTAGAACCCCTATATAACCCCTGTCATGTAACCCCTATATAACCACGCCTCTCTCCTCATATACCCTTCTATAACCCCTAGATGACCCCTATACCCCCCATACAACCCCTTTGAAAGGCACCCCTAAATTTGGGAAACCCCCATCCAGCGCGAGCTTCGGCGCGACCATTGCCATCCCTGGCTAGGTCCGCAGCATAGGCCAACCTCAAAAGGCATGGGAGCATGATTGCTTGCGTATAGCATAGTATACAATAGCTATATTATGATTAGTGTGATGTAGTATAATATACGGCAGAATATCAAGGGGCGCAGCTTGGGATCTAGTGCCATGCTCCCACCTGCTGCAGCAGGTCTCAAGTCTACGTCCCACAAAATCGGGACATTTACTACAAGTGCGGCTGCCGCCTGACCACGCTTTCAGTTGCATCGCATTATCGCTGTGACTGATATGGTTGGTGTGAAGTATTATGTAGTCTTCATCGGTGAAACGGAAACGAACGACTCCAGTGCCAAAATGGCCAGGCAGCTCTGGCAGGAGCGGGGCAGGCGCTACCTGGAGGATCGTGGGCAAAAATCATCTAGGAGAAAAACAGTAGCAAACAAACACTGTAGCAAACAAACCAGGATTATAGTAGCAGCAATGTCCAGGATGAACAACGGCTAACGCAGCAACAGCCACAGCGCCATTTTGAGCAATGGCTTTAACAATAGGAACGCAAACAAGAAGGGTCCGGCTTTCTGACCTCCTCTTATTTCAAGGTTTCCCAGAGCTGATTGCAGGACCTGGACCCTTGCTGAGCACAGGCCACTCGAATCCACAGCTGCAGCAGTTGCACCAACCAGAAGCAACTAGCAGCGCAGCACCAGCACGGGCCGCCAGCGGAAGCAGCGCCCCCATCACAAAAATGGCGCCACAACCAGCAGCAGTGGCAGCAGCACCACCACCACCACTAACCAAGTAGACAAGAAGAACAGTTCATGGTCAAGGTCAAACAAAAGTAAGTAAAAACGGCAGTAGCAACAGCAGGCACTAGCAGACTGACAGTAAGGGCACTTAATGGCACAGCAGTTGCTGCAATCAACTTGGCAGCTAAGCCCTTGTCCTGTCCGCGTCCCAAAGGTGCAACCAACAAGCCTTAGCTCTCTTTGCTTCATTAGGTTTAGTAGGCTCTGCAACAAGCAGGGCCTTCAAAGTTTGCCCAACATACCGAGGCTCCCCCTTCATTGCAGAAGGACCCTCTCAAGTCTTCAGAAACTCCCGTTGTCTCCCATCTAATCCTCCTTGGGCGGTCGTAAGGTTCAAGAGAAAAACTCTTCTGTGGCAACCTGTACCTTGTAGAACGTTGTATTCATCAGCTCTGCCAAAGGCGACCTCCTGCCGATATGCGCTTAGTCAATTTGCTAGAACATATTGCTAGACAAGCTCATTTAAGCGTCAACAAAATTCAGGCTAAGTCAATGCCTCAGGGAAAAGTTAGATTCAACCGAAATGACAAACCAATGTGTCATGATTGTCGAACTTACAGCCATTCCGCCAAACTGCACGGCAGTGTCGCATGACGGTCTCAAACAACCCTTTCACAAAATATGTTCATCAGAGCGGCCAAGTCCCAAGGATGCCAGGATGCCTCAGCTGTTCTGAATGACAGGGATGTGGCAGGCAAAGAAAAAAACATCTTCTTTAGATGGGAAATTGCCACGGTCATCGTGCATGGCTAGCATGTTGGCTCAATCTCCATTCGCGGAATCGGTGAGCAGGGGTTGAATTGCTTGGTAGCTCGTCAGCCGGGGTACCCACTAGGACCCAGCGCCAAAGCCGACCACGAGGAACGGCGAGCAAGCAGCCGAAGCTCTCAGGTGGCAACTGCCTCTGAGTCCGGTGCGACTCTTGACCGTGGTGTTACAGTACATTAGAAGCCAAACATGCTGTCTGAGCTTTGAGTGTGACTGCTCCAAGCCTCAGGTAGGGCTTGACAGTGTGCCAGGTCAACGCATAAGTGAAAAGCTGGCCAAGCCAAAGGCGACCCAACCTTAAAGCGAGGGCGGGCATTTGCTACTGGTGACTATCGATGCTGATGCACACCGTTGATTGCTTTGTCCCATTGTTGCCTAAAAGCTGTCTGGCGATCAATTATGGGTGTGTAAAGCACAGAAATGACGTGGGGTGTGGCGCAAGTAATAAAGCGGCTCAGGACATGTTTGCGAAGGCCTAGCTGCATGCTAAATTCCAACTAAGCCACTGGTCTTGCGGAAGCAGGTATGCTGCAAAACGTCCCGAAAAGGAGTACCAGCAGTAGACCAAGAACCTCAGCTTTGATTTAGCTTCTGCAAACGAGAAGCCCGGCAAAACCATGCACAGATTGACCATGGCATCAAGTAAGTGTAGGCCAGCGCGAAATGTTGGACCCCTTGCCCAAAAGATGCTATGCCTTACTGCTGCCGTCTGCCGTCGAGGCGGGTAGATCGACATTAGCAATTTTGGAATCATGAACTGTAGCCCGGCAGCACCAACGTCCAAGTCTCCAAGGCATTCCAGGGCACATCACCCTCTGCAAGGGCCCATGGTGGCCTGCAGTCGGACGCAAGAGGTTAACCCTTTCCTGAGCATCCAGCTGAGAATCCCTGAAGTTTCAGCAGATTCGCGCTGGCATACCTGCTGCCGCGACCTTCAAATTGCAGCTCCAAGACCCTGGGACCCTGGGGTGGAGGGAGCTTCTAGACCCTAAACCCCTACAATCTTAAATCCCAAAACACCACACATAACTGCTACAAGCTCAATGATTTCGGCCTCCTTGGCCTGCCTGTCTGAGCAGCTATCATCGTTGCATTGCGCTGCCAAAAGCTGCTGCGACCATGAGATCAGGGATTGGTCACAATTTAGGGAAGATCTGTGTGGGATACAGGGAACTTAGTGGAGAAGAAATAGCCTTCATGATGGAGAATCAGATGGAAAATCAAAGGCTGAGTCAAATAAATGGAAACTTGGAAGGTATTACATAGGGGATGCATGCAACTGCGGGCGAAGGGGCTAAGCTCAAGGGATGGCCATAGCCTAACGCTGTGATTGCTGTGCTCCAAGTCTCGAGCCCAGAGACGTCGCAGAGACTCCCATAATTTGACAGCACTCCACATCTGTTAATACTGCAGCACAAAGTGCTGTCCCCCTTCACCTCAGTCAGGCCTGAGCGCTGAGAGTGGGACTCTGCTTGCTGGCTTCGGGGGTCGCTGAGCATGGCAAGGCACATTGAGTGATGGACCCTGGGCAGGATTGCATGCAGTCTGCCAAGTCAGCGAGGCACGTCCTCCCAGCAAAGATTGGTACTGCCGTGCATCTGAGGCAGTTGCCCAGTAGCTACCTGGCCGCGCTGAAGCTTACAGCAAAGCACACTGGGCTTTGCTCTGCCTATCTCACCCATCTGCAACGATGGAAGAACTACAGTATGAGTATCTTCTGGGGGCCCACCGCAGGCTTCAGAGATTATGGGAGAGATGAACCCTCTTAGCAAGCTGGGAACCGGTGCCCGTCTTTCCTACAGGCAACCGGCAAGAAAAGCAGCCTTTGCCGGTGTCAAGCTTAACTGCTCAACCCACTGCCCCTGGACAAAATAGCACGGCACCTGGGTGATCTTGTAGCTTCGGCCACCTCACAAAAGCCAAAGTTTGGGGCAGCCTTCGCGAATTACCAGTTTTAGGAAAGAACTTCACAGCGGTGGCCAATACCTATGGCAAATTTACATTATGTTGAAGGAGCCCGCTTTCGCCTCCGACCTGCCCACACCAGGAGCCCATGATAATGAATCTTCTTTGCCTGCTCACCCGCGCGGTGCACGTAGATCAGATCACTGAAAACGGCTTTTGCCAGCCAGAAGTAGTAAGCCACCAACTGCTCACCAACTCAATGCGCAACTATACGGAGGAAAGATGCCAGGCTGAGCCAACAATCTGAATTGGGGCTTCTACCCTGCTTGGCGCCGCAAATATGATGCAGACTATGACATGTCGGACCTAGCTACTTCTATCTACAATACATCTTTCTGCCACACTCATCATCTGCGCCGAGAGCGGGATCGTGAATCACTGTCATCTCCTGACAATGCAGGCTGCGCTTTGGCTTGAGTCGTAGCCACTGCTATGTGGCTGAAAATTTCAGAGTCCGGAGCCCAGATGAATGACGAGGGATTGTGACAGAGTCTTGCCAACGATCACCACATGTATGCGTATGGCTGCAGCAGCAACAGCAACAGCAACAACTGCATGGTAACTCCATCTCACCTCTACTACTACCATGATGTACCATCACGTACCATCATTTACCATAATGTACCATCATACCCTCGGCTCATCAGGCAAGGCGCTTCGTCGCCGTCGCCTGCGCTCCCCATCATCATCATCCCGCCTTCTATCACCTTACGCAGCCCAGTGTGGTGGAGGCCAGCAAGAGGATAGCAATAGCAGCAGTAACGCAACTGGTGAAACAATGGGAGCAAAAGCTAAAGCAAAACAAGGTGAGAGTAGGCAGGCGAAGGATAGCAGTGATGACAGAAAACTAGCTGGGCGGTTAGTTGCAACTCGTCGTGCCCTAACTTCTGCTCAGACTTGCTGGCCGCAGAGCCGAGTTTGAACCACTTGCGGGGGAGCCTTGAGCAGGTCATCAGCAAGTCACCCGTACTCCCTGATACTCACACCAGCCGTGTTAAAGCAAAGTAGCAAGTGTCATGACAACGTAGGAACGCTTGTTTTCAAGGTTCGGTGCCAAGATACGGTCACCCCGTCGATCGCGATCATCGCGACCTCGTCGGTCCTGGGCATCAAACAAGAAGGCTGCCCAGAGCTGCGGCAGCTGCTGCTGGGAAGGGCTGAACCCTAACAACGGAACTCCGCTACATCCAGAATAAGAGCAGGGGTAGAAATGAGAATCTTTGAATTCTCATAGTAACCAACTGCAATCAATTTTCAACTGCTATCAGGATCGACTCTAACTCCAAGTTTGTCCAAGAGGCGTCGTAGCGCCGTCCGAGGCCGTCAGAAGGTGGTCCTTGCAGAGCTTGCACTGTCAGAGCAGTCGAGGTTGATCCTTTTTACCCTAAAATCTGGGGCAATGAGGGGTATCGAAGGCTGCTCAGGGCTGGCTGTTGTTCCACAGATATGCAACAGGAAGTTCGGACATGTTCCAGAATGATCAATGAAAAAGATTGAGAGAAAGGTAGGTTTGCTGGATGCAAGACAAACAACTCAGCACAAAAGAATCTTGCCGTGCCAGCTAGGCATCCCTCTCACCAAAAGTCTACTGGACGAGACGCTCCAACACAGTCTAGGTTGCTTTCGTCTCGCCTCCTTCGTGGAGAAACCGACACGAGTCTCCACGATCACATCTTCCACGACGGTAGTCTCCACAAATCTCCTGCAACACGGCGTTCCTGCAACTCCTCTAAGCCAAACCTGGTATGGATAGTAAAAATACTGTCCTCAGGAAAGTGTCATCTTACCCCTACCGGCATCCCAAACCTGCCAGAAGTGCCAGATGCAAACAAACGCGAGAGCATCCCTTTTCTACGCGGCCAAAACTATGGAAAGCGTTGACACTTTAGTCATGTTCGAATAGTACTTTGTATTCACTGTATATCTCCGTCTCTCTATTTCGCCCGGGGCCTAGTATCCCGCCTACAATTTGTGCCCCACTTCCCACCCAACAAAGGCCTTGAAACCAGGTTTGCCTTTCTGCGGGCCTGAGCGACGACGCTTCAGTGGTGGCTCAGTTTTGGGTGCAACAACAGTGGAGTCCGTAGAGCTACCTTAAGTTATAATGCTTGCAGCCGAAATGGTACTGCATGCAAATAATCTGATAGCACTAGTACCAGCCACACTATTTCACAGAGATATGACACTGGTAGAAACCAGTGATACAAGACTGACCCTCCTGCAGCAATTCATCTGACGATCACCAGCCTGTTCCATCACCATCATCGTCGTCATGGCTAATTTCTGCTGGATTTCACACTAGCCGAAGCTGGTTACGGACCGAGTCCTAGCAGGTCCTAGCACGTACAATGACGACTGCTGCTTACTTCGTGGGGATCGCTCCGAATCGCTCCCTGACTTCCTTCTGTCGATCCAACGAGGACCAACGACAGCGCGGTGTTTGCTGCTGCCTTTGCCAGCATGAGAAAAACTACAGTTCATCAACTGGCGTGCTGCTGCTGCTGCTGCTGCCGCCGCCGCCGCTGCTGTCTTAGGGTCATGAGATGTTGTCTTCATTCGCCAGGAAGCTTTGGGTCGTGTGAGATTAAATACTCATACAAGGCAACACTGGGGTGGGTACAGTCCCGCGAGATATGACCAAACTCACCTGAGCAACTCTCCGGGTGCCCAGTACAAACAGACTCTGTGACCCCATTGTGCAAGCTGAACGATGAAGTTGATCCAAAGCTCCACAAGTGTAGCAGTCCCCCATCCTGCTTGGGCCGCCAGTGCTGGGGGAGCGCGGCCCTTTCCAAGTCTGTCTTGAGCCAACAGGCGAGGCACAGATTTCAAGAAGATACAACATCTCAACTCCTGTGAGTGTGGCTGCTCTGCTCTTGCCTTGATTTGACGGGCTACAACATGTCAACCTTTTTTCATGCTGGGACCACTAGCGCTCTGCAAAGCATGCGTGTACCAACTCCTGATGCTTCAGTGATCTTCAAATCAGGTGAGGCGGTGCTGGCTTTGGCGGTCAAGGCCCCGACGGCGTTCCCGCATCTCTTGCAGCTCGGGAATCTGCAGCCGCCACGGCCTCAAGTCTGCAACTGTACGTAAAGCTTAGCAGGGGTTTGAGGATGTACGATATTTTGACTTCTTCAACTTCTGCGAGTATATGAGTTCAGGTGACTGCAGATTCGAGCGGAGCAGGCAGGTCTGCAGATGTGTGACAGCACACGGCGAGAACCATTCTCCCACAAAAAAATGGCCGGTCACTTGGGCCGCAGCAGATCGATGACCGGCGAAGCACTGGGGGGCAAGCCGAGCTGCCCTCGATCGTTCTTGCCTTGGCGCGGCAAGCGAACGGAGGCTAATGCAAGGCACTTCTAAGGAAAACACGGAAATGTGAACAAATGAATGGCGCAGCTTTGTTGCTGAAGATGCCGGCTGCATGCTTCCAGAAACTTACTCTGCAAAGGGAGCAGACAGAGCACACTCGTAACTTTGAAGGGTCAGCGTCCGCTGCGGATGTGCTATGAAGCTGCTCCAAGCCCCTGCAGTTGCTACCCAGGGTCCGGCGCCTGCCCCTTTCCACTGATTCTACCTTGAAAGTTTGGTTGATGTCAACTGTTATATTGCTATGCTTCTCTGGCTGCTTCCTCCGCTTCGGCAAAGCAAACGTGTGGGTGAAACATCAACTCGCTGATACCCAACGCGTGGAGTGCTTCAATAGAATAACATGACATGCCACTCATTTCTAAGCGTGTGGTCTCAGACCCGTTGGGTTGTTCAGTACTTCGCCAGTACTGTGTATCATCCTTGCCCCTCACGACCGTTGCAAGCGACTGGTCAGAGCATGTCACGATGAGCAGGCTAAGCAGGTACCTGCGAACGAGAGCAAGGTGGCTGCAACACATCTATCGTGGTCTGCCACATTCTGCCAAAACCCCACACACGCATTGCTGCATGCAGAATGCTTGGGCATGAACGTCTCAAACCACGGATGCCTAAGAAATATGCTGCTGCCTGCGTGAGTTGGGATCACATTTTTCCTCACTATGGTACTTCCTACTCGTCACAGAAGCATCACGCCGGGCGTCTTCCTGCAGCTGTCTGTTTTCCAGCCTCTTCTTGAATAGCTGCCACGAGCTCGGAGACAATCTGCTTCTCCACACCGACCTGCAAGTATAGGGAAATCATATGGGAAATTATACGGGGTCATATAGGGTTCTATAGGGTTTTCTATCGTGAACGGGCTGCAAATATCAATGACATGTGCGCCAACAAGTGAATCCCGCAAGGTGTGTTCCCGGAACTGCTGTGTCTTGTCCTAGAGAAAGTTGCAAGCTAATGTGAAAGGTGCCGGCTGGCTGATCGATTGATTGGAGCCTGCGAGCAGTGCTGAAGCCATGCTCCTGACCTACTGTATCTAACACTCCGCACGCATCAAGGTCCTGCTGGTGAAGGATGCTTCTGCGATTGCAGGAGCAGTGCGGAGTAGTGGTGGTGGTGGTGGTGGTGGTGGTGGTGGTGGTGGTGGTGGTGGTGGCGGCGGCGGCGGCGGTGGTGGCGGCGGTGGCGGCGGTGGTGGCGGTGGCTGCTGGTGCTCTTATGGGTGATCACGACAAGACTATGAACTAGGGTCAAAGATAACCATAAAAGCGTACTGGTGCGTAAAAATCGCTCGTCATTATCACGTGACCCATGACATGTTCGTCGTACAACACAAAAGATACAAAGAGCGCTGCGAAGACGAGCCCTTCACCCTCTTTGCCTGCCACTGCCGGTACTCGAGGAAGTTTGCATATTTGCTGGCAGCCGCCACGTCTCCACGCTCCTGTACCCCATCCCATCTGACAACGGTTCCTTTTTGACCGTTTCTGCCAATCTTCGTTGCCAGATGTCTGCTATTTGGAAATTTCTGCGAAAAAAAGTAACTTGCAGCGCCGAAAGCATGCCCGCCGCTATCCTTGAAGCCCAAACCCGCGTTAGAGCATGGCCATAGCCCCCAAGAAAGGGTCGAATAACAGCCCTAATTTCTACCCTGGCAATGATTTGTTGGTTTCTGCTGTTCATGTTGCTAATCTCTTCGTCACTTTTCCACTAAACATCGTCGCAGCGCTTGTACTACCCGTGTTTGTGAGGCAAGTCCCGTCCTCAAATAGGCGCACTCGAAGCTTGGCCATGGCATCAGCATGAAGGGAGCGCAGCTTCACTTCCTCGGACAGTGGTTTGATGCGGTTTGTCATACTACTCGTGTTGTTACAACAACTACAAACTGCTACTGTTCCAGCTACCGGGCAAGGCACCTCCCTCTAGCAGCAAATCAAATTGAAATCAAGCATGTCCGTAAGATCATGATCAACCTGCGCACAAGGCACGTCAAGGAACGACCACACCAATGTGTATCCCAGCTAAAGGCCAGCTTGGAGCAAGAATTCCAGGCAGGAAACTATATCATCCCAGTTCAATTTCCATGTTCTATGTGATTCTCCATTGTTGGTTTCGGAAACTAAAGGACGACCAGCAACGAAATCGGAGATGTCTGCCGGATTTGGCTTCTCGATGGAATTCGGGTCGAAGTCTTGAATGGAGTCCTGGGTGGAAAGCATCATGAACACCAAACGGAGCACCCCTCAAATTCCTAGCGCAAAAGAGTGCTGTGTGGAAACCTAGCTCAAGTGCAAGCCACGTAGGCGCCCGCATCAGGGAAGCTGTCCGACGCTGGCGTGGCCTTTACCGGAGGCGGCTTTCTGGCCAAGTCACCACTAAGTTTATGCTTGCGCTGGTGCACCATGATAAGTTGCCAAGCCACCGAGCCAATACAAATTAAGCTAGTGAGACAGGCGAGGTGTGCCTCGTCCTCACTCTGACCCTTTTTCATCATCTTTTTCAGCGCGTCGGCTATGTACTCCTCACCTCGACACGAGGAACGTGATGATTTTGGCAGAGAATTCTCCAACTTTCAGCTAGGACATTTGTTGTTACAGTGAAGTGACATTGGCCCAGACCAACCATGAAACACACACACACGCGCGCGCGCACACACACACACACTCGCGCAGCAAACCCGCAGAGCTTCTGCAAGTCTTCCGGTTCGAGTTCAAGGTGCTCTCGTCAAAGGAGATGGTCACCACCCTCCAACCGCAAACGCCTTTGCTTCCAGGTGCGCATGGCGATTTCGTTTAATTTGTATTGTTTTATGCCACTAATACGAGCTATCATGTGCAAATTGTTGTTGTAAAAATAGATTTCTTGTTGGCAACATGGCCTCTCTTCCAGCAACAGGACTCAGCATGACCCACCAATGCACCCCGCCTGCACAGTGACGAAACAAATCTGGAGGGTGGCTTCCAACAGACTCAACAAGGAGACATATCCCAAGAACCCTACATGTGGGGAGACTACCTACTCGACGGACCCTCAACAAAGGAACTCAAGCTTGGACTGTCGCAGCTTTTCAAGATGGAACTGACAAATTCTGACGTCCAACAAAGGCTACAGCCCATTTAACGTTCATTGTAAACCCGGAAGGAGCGCGCAGTTTTTTCTTAGAAAATCGCAAACTGAACATGCCAAGGCACGAAGTAGCCGCCGCTTGAATGCTGCTTGTCCGTTGAGTCCACACTCTACAAACTCACGGGCCTGTTTTCGAACAACGGAAACCTACCTGGTGCTTCATGGGGAAGTGGATTATAAGGCTGAGTAATTTGAGTAGCGGGTTCTGTAAGGTTCCCTGATAAGCACCAGGTAGAAAAGGAGTGAGTCAAGACTTTCTGAATCCTTTGGGAATGAATATGTAAGAGCATGTTCTCCAAATTGGGTGTCCTATTCTGGGGCTTGTAGCCGAGAATAATCCCTATTTAGGGGAAGGGGGTTGACTGATAACAGGTCTACATCGGTCCAAATCTTCAAGGATTGACAGGCCTCTACTTCCAGCAGGGCAAGCAAAGCCAGGCCCTACCTGTAACGGAGCCAGGAGTCTGCCCCATTATAGAGGCTAGATAATTACCAACATCATGTTGAGGACAGTTTGAGGCATCCTACCTTAATCATATGATAACTATATAATGAAGGAATCTAGGACCATCAGGTTGGTATTTAGGCCCTTGCATGATACTGGACTTCTGCGGCCCACTGGGCGCTCATGGAGCCTTGATTAGCCCTGGCAGAACCCTCGAAACACGCCCGTTCGAGCGCCGCCAAGGGCGGCTTAAGAATGCTGAGGATCCCCCACCCTCGATCCAAACATCCAAACTTGCGCAAATTCCCAGACAGGAACCTGCAACAAGATCACATGTGATCAGTTTCCTGAGGTCTCTCTTTCTTGCTCACTACATGGTGCCATTGGAAAGGTGTCAGACAAGACCATTTTGGGCAACTCCCATGCGGGAGTTTGCTCCAATCCCCTGGGGACTCACAGAATACCTTAGGAGGACCCCCCACCCTGTAATAGTGGCATAATAGGAATATAAGAGGACCCTAATATAGTTACTAGTATCCCTTATGGGGGGTCTTCCTAAAGTGTACCTGCAACCCAAGTTTGAGGACCTGCTTTGTACGGTTGCCGGAAGCCTCCGTCTGCCTGGCCCCACAAAATGGACTCCCCCCCTTTGCCCCCGAACCTGCCATAATCCCTGTAGCCACTTCCCCCTAAGTTAAACCCCTCCTAACATAAAAATACACCTAATATTAAATCCACCCCTATATAAAATACGGGTTCCCAGAATTCCAAATTAGGACATCTGCCCCCAAGACCACTGTTAAAAGGCCCAAGACTACAGCTAATTGAGGCTCCGATCCTCTGAATTAGCCGGGTCCCTAGCACGACTGTTACGGAATAGGGAACTCCTTTGATTTCCTTGGTTTTTTTAAAGGAATTTATGTCCAAGCTGAATACGATTCTAATTGGTTTCAGCGCGACTCTAACTAATTTTTACATTAGATGTTACTTGAATTTCATTTGGTTTTAACCAGGTTCTAAATGAATTAGAGTTCGATTAGATGTTTACTATCGAATTTAGATAGAATTCAACTAGTTTGATTACTACTTGAAGTTGACATCAATTTTTTTGATGTTCATTAGATTCCAACGGCTTGTTAAAAATTTGAGCTTCATGGGTTTCATTGCAATTCTACTACAATTCTCATCAGATTTGTCGGCCTTTTATTTGATTAATTATGATTCGGTTTAAAAAGATTTCCACAGGAACCTTGTATTTAAATATCTCCTCTGATATTTAATACGATTCGGAGCATATACATCGGTGGGGAGCCCTGTAAGTTTAGGGGGAAGAGATTACATGATGACGTATATACATCATGAGCCCAGAAAGGCATGCCTGATCTTTAGAAAAACCTCCGTAAACTGCATGTATATATATATAAATATCTATCTATCTATCTATCTATGTCTTAAGGAAGAGCAGGGAAGTGGATTTAAACGTTAGGGGCAGGGCTTACCCCGAAACCTGGCCAAGAACTTCACAGCGGTCGCCGGAGGGAAAGCTCTTGAGCTGATCCTCTTCAATGAGCTTCTCCTGCTAGGGCTTAGGGTTTAGGATCTAGGGTTCAGGGTTTTTTTTGGGGGGTGTTAAGTTTAGGCTTAGGAGGAACCTCGTAGCTGATGCGGTATTGGCAAGGGTGGTGGGGGTTGCGGGGGGAGGGGGGCAAAAAAGAAGGAAGTGAAATGAGCTTCTCGTGAGACGGTATGCGGGGTTTTCTGGACTATTACTACAATTAACGCTGCTACTATACTATTACACTATTAGGACTATGTTCTATTATTGTTGCTGATAGTAGTATATTCAAGTTCAGAAAACTAGAACTGTTGTGCCCTGTGCACTGAAACCCTCATAATGACAGGCAGATCTAAATTCTGGTGGTTTCATACTTTAGGCCCGTGCAGCATGAAACTGTTACTAGTTTTATTATGACTATTATTATTGCAATGGTTAACTATTATTGCTACTACTATTCCTACTATTATTACGATTGTCTGCAGCGGTATCTGAATACCATTCTCAGGCCGAGGCTTCTGACGACTCTCACACCCCGAAAAGCTGCTTCTCCAAGCTTGGGCCAAGAGGCGGTGAGAAGCTCCAGGGGAATTGTGTTTCGCTGCGGTCCCTGCGAAGGATGAATATGAGGCAGCACGAATTATACACCATTTCACGCTTGAATCTGACTCGTCGAACATTACCCTATAGCTGATACGTCTGATACTACCTGCGACAAGGCCCGCTACACCTGCAACGGCATGGCAGCGTGGCCGTCAAGCTGCTACGTTCATTGCTTGCCTCAACTTCGATGACTAACTTGAGCTTGTTGATTGCCACGTCAACCTCAGGCCACATTTCTCGAAAAAAATGTAGAGGCAGCCATCATAGAATCAGATCCCTCAGGTGACAATGTACGCGCTTGTCCATGCTTTAGTGCGCAACTCACGTTCCAAGCGGGATCCTGCCAATGCGTAACGAAAGCGGATGCTACAAACTGGCAAGCCCAGCGCCTGGAGACAGGTGTTGTGAGCGAACGAGCGCTGCAGAATTTACAGTCCTCTAGAATTATCATGAAGCTTTGTTTTCCAATCGTGCCGGCTCTACTGGTACTGCTTGCACGCGATGGCACATGACACTCTACATGAAGTCCGCTTTTTCCAACTCACCATACTTGTGCAAGCCAGGCACACGCACACCCGCCTCACCAAAGCCGTCCAGAATTGGGGCCATGGCGTTTGCCTGAAGCGTCGTCTCGACTACCCAAAAGTGACCATCTTCTGAGCTGCAATGGTCAGTGATGTCGCTCGCTACTTTAGGAGCAAGGAACTGCTGTGTGTTGTTCCTACCCTGCCGAGTGCATTTACGACGTCTTTGAGCTCTCTCTACCGTGGCTCTACTGGTATGCCCTCCTCGCCAGCATCTGACAGACTATGGTCTTGCTATGGTTTTGATTTGGCAAAATTTTGTTCACGGTCTACTTAGCAACTCATGCCAACGCTACCTCTAAAAGTGTGGAAACCTTAAAGCACGATTACGGACATTCGGGAGTGCCTGGTGTGGGATCTGCTGCACCCGCAGTCGGTCTGACAGTCTCCGGTGTTGCTCACCCATGAACATGGCGGTCGTGTCCTCTGGCAAAGGGGGAGTAGTAGCAGCAGCAGGTGCAGTGCGCAGCAGCAGCGACAGCGGCTGCGGCAGCGCCAAGAATAGCAAAGGCAGCAGCGCCAGCAGCTGAAGCAAAAGGAGCAGCAGTAGCAGTAGCGCCGGCAGCAGCACCAGCAGCAATGGCAGGACCAGTAGCAGCGCCAGCAGGAGTAGAAGAGCAGGAGCAAGAGCACTAGCAGTAGCAGAGGTAGCAGTAGCATTCGGAGTAGGATGAACGTTGCTACTCTCATTGCACAACACGTCCACTTCGCTCGAAACCTTATTTCCTGTGATTATCACTCCGCCCCTGCAAATCCTGCAGTCATGGCCATTTCTGCGTTTCTGTCGTTTTATGGCGCAGTCGGCACTACTCGCACAATCCGCTGGCGTGGCTGTGATACTGCAAGTGCTCCCGGGGCCTCGTAGCAGTTCCGGCACACCATGTGGCCCAGCAGCCCTTCTACGGAGAGACCCAACTCTGCCTGTTGTTGCAGGCACTTTCGTCTGGGGATGCCATACAATAGGAATGATGACAAGGGTGTGAGTTTGTTGAAGGGGTTCGGTATCCAGCATAATTCGGGGGGTCATGTTGATGGCTATACATGGCATACATGGCGTAACAATGCCAGACTTGCTTGCAGCGCGCTTCCATAATTACCTAAATTCTAGAGGCAGTGATCTTTGTGCACCGCAGTAAGTTCTGTTGGCTGATGGCAACTGATTGGCTTGACCTTTGTCGCTCTGCATCACTACTACAGCCTGTTCCTGCGCAGGATGCTAGAAATGCTAGAAAAGCTACAATTCCACAATACCAGAACAGCCCTCTGAAATTCACAAATTCAACCTCTTGACCTTCGGATCGCCTTCCAGCTGGCCAGGACGAAGTAGAGCATGGTGTACCGCTGCCTCTCAGAGCTTCAAACACACTGTAGAGCAGCGATGAGAATCTCAGCCATGATATCGCAAAATGCTGGCAAAGGTGCTGATTATACTCCCGTTCCCAGAAGTCATCTGCAAGCATGATCTTCCTAGGTGGGCAGTCAATGGATGCTGGGTGCGCTTTGGCGCTGGAGGCAAATGACGCACGATTGAGAAAACAATGCCGAAACCGAATCTTGAAATTTCTGCCGGGCCATATTCAGAGGCTAAGATCGAGTCTGTTCTCACCCCTTTTGCCTCACTGCTGCTTACTAGGCTTGCCAACGACTTGGCTCCGGAGACTTGTTTAGCTGAATTGAGAACCAACGGCATCCAAGTCACATCAAGTGCAAGCTTGACGCTGGACCGCCAAGGATGGCACAGGCCCACATGCTGATCTCAGCAGGCTTCAGATGAAGAGTGATGCGTCTTTTGTTTGGGCATCGTGTCTAAAACGGCGGCTCATGGACGGAAGCCAGGGCATCTCGTCAGGTCTACAAGGTTTGCTAATATGGCAAGATCACCATAGTAGCATGATTTCCAACAAGGGCGACGAAAATGGTATGGGCAGCCTGTAAAGAATAGTGCGACAAAGACATCCTAAAGACTATCCAGCATCATTCAGGTAGTGATGTTGGGTGCTTGGACCACACAGAAAATGATATTCGCCTGACGAGACACTAGCTATAGCACGAGTCAGCATGGGGTGACTATCATTTCCACAGTGCAAATGATACTAGTCATGTGCTGTATGGTCTGAAATGTCACTGCTATGTACTGCCATCTTTGGTGCAGCTCGAGTACCACCAGAGAAGCCGGATTCATCAAAGACTTTTGCCTGGAAAGCTCCTGACGAGGCTGTCAGGAGGCATGAGGATTTCTCGAAACGACGAGCGGGGTCAGGGTTTAGCGATTCAGCAGTGTAATGTTGAGAAGTGGAGCAGGAAGATGTGCAAGTTGTAAGCAAGTTATATCCTATGGTCCCACGTAGTTGTGCCTACAGATTTTGCTCAGCCTTGTTGATGCAGAAATATTCAGATATTCTGCCCCAGCTCACCATGTGAAGCCCATTGGGTCCCTGCGACCGTGAGACTTGCTGTATGGGTAGAGGTGGGCCACAATGCTTTCAAGCTAGATAGGCTTCCAACACAATCAAACACCTCGCCCCGTCAGTCTTCTACTTGCAAAGAACCTCGCCTTCAGCTACGCGAACTGATTACCCTGAATCCGCTATCCGAATGTCTCAACTAGAGTCCTCGGCCACGGTGGAGCTGAGGACTTCACCATGGTTGCGGCAGTTGAGGGTGGCCATCGACCACACGATCATGCTGATCCTTGTGGCAGAAACGTTCCGCTTGCGCTCTAGACACCACGACCATGCGCTAGTGATGCGACCTTTGCTCGGACAGCTTGACCACTGCAGCAACTATAGCAGACTCCAGGGAGACAACCTGACGCAAAATGCCCAAGGCGAGGTGCTGCTGTCCCGAGAACCTTGGCTGCAGGTTTCCGAAAACCCAAGTCTCAAGAGACAATGGTACGCCGAAGCCATCTGCGAAAACCTACTGGCGAAATTCTTCCGAAACCTCCCAAAACGCCTAAGACAGTTGCTTGTACGCTGGGTGCATGCCAAATGCTTATGTTGAAACGTCAAACCAAGGAGCTCACGAATTCGCTCAGAGAGAGTTAGCGCAGCTCGGGTCATGACACCTTCGTGCCGCACCTGTGCGAGGCGCTTAGGGTTCAGGCCATCATAGGGAACATTGCGGCCGATGACGGCCATCTGTGTAGTAAACTCATGGATGTCTCCCATGTACGGGGACTACAGGGGATCCTCTTAGGGTTGTGCATGGGCCTAATGATGGGCTCCTATGTGTATGCCGAGTTGTGCAGATGCACATGGCCTCAAATGCTTGGGGCAGGGATCCAAAAAGTGCTGTTCTAATCAACCCTCTGGCGATGTCGCCTACGAAAACCTGTTCTTAGGGTTACTGTCGATAAGCATGCGCAGTGACCGTCAAGAAGAACATTGATCATAAAACAAGACAAACAGCAACGTCAGATGCCTCCTTCCCCACTCACTCCGACCGAAGTCAATACTAAAAACATGATTAGCAAATAGGGACCATACGCGTCTATGTGTGCCATCATTACGGTCCATCTCCCAAATGGTCACTTGCACCCACAAGGCATGGGGACTTCAACTGAAAGCTCAGGAGATGCTTCCGTAATAACAAAACAACACTGGTTGTATTGGGATACTGGAAAATAAAATGGAAACTATAGTAGCTACTATATTATAGGGGTTATATAGGGGTATCTTAGGCTTGGGGGTTATATTGGGTATTTTAAGGTTGGGGTAACCACAACACTCATCACAGCCCCCTTGGTTTGAGATGTTCTCTAACGCAAGACTCAGACTACGCACTAAATTTGTCGATATGTGTATGTGCAGGAAAGATTCTTACATAAAGTGCGGGTGCGTCGATTGTTGCCCCTCAGTCAATGAATTGAAATCATTGATGGGGCTCTTCTGCCGGACACCGAACACAAGGTGGGTGGCATACTGCTCTCTCTCTCTCTCTCTGCCGGCATGCGGACGCAAAGCCCCCCCCTGCAGTGCGCCGGTCACATGCTGCTCAAATTTTCGCAGCTCTTATTCCTCGGCCACCAGCTGGCAACTGCCGAAGTCAGGATATCCTGCCGCGCCGAGAAAATCCCGTAGGACCCTAAGGCCGATGTTTAGGTTTTAGATGCCAGGAACCCCAAAAAACTATGTAATCCACCTGCAAGAATGCTCTGCGGCCTGGTTGGCTGCTAGACTGTAGCAAAGGATCGCCCACTGCCTGCGGCACAGCACAATTTATTACAGCTCAAGGCTAGCAATGAGAATGCAAAGTAGTGGTGATAGTAGTCGGGGAGGAGGAGGAGCAATGACCACAGAAGCAGGCACACTAGCAGCAGCGACCACAATGGGAATTTCAATAGCTTGGATAGTGGCGGTCCTCGCAAGTCATGCAAGTCATGGCCAACCCCACAGTATAGGTTACGGTTGAGGTGCAATGGCGGCAGAGAGTCCCAAGAATCGCGCCGTTCCAGCTCCTGCGGGCATGGTAGCTACCGTAGGCAATGTTCATATCATATGGGGCTCACATGGACATCACAAGGTCAGTGTTTGCCTACGAGAGTCATGATAAGGGGAGTTTTTGGACTTGCTTGCCGCCTCGACCTGGGCATTTCAATGCCGGACAAGCGCCTGGGCAAGAATCTATCTTGATCGGCCTAGGTAAAGTGCGCTCCCGCATCATGAGGCTCCTGAATCATGCGATGCACAAGGCCGATGTTCAGGTAGTTGCCTGTGGTCGGTAGCAGCTCAGTGGGCAGAAGGTAAAGCTTGGCCCTATGGATTGTCAATCCACCACTACTGATACTGAGCTTTTGTTAAGGAACCTAATTTGAGTTACTATAAATTGGGGATAAATTGGGGAAACCGTATTAATTACTGTATTGTTTATGTGCCCGTTCTGGTAACTTGATTTAAGTTCCTTAGCAGCAACCCAGATTACTGCAAACAATCACAGCACTCTGCTTTGCTCCAGCATGCTGTCTTGCCAAGGCGTTAAGGCAGTAGTCCGACACCTAAACTTTGTGGATGATAAATGCCCAGCCAGGCACACTTCGCATAGCAGTACAGGACATTGAGGATCTCCACCTGTACAGAATAGCAACAGCCAGGCATGGCAACATTGCTATGCATCATGCCTAACCTTGAAGGATGCAGGTTGAACGCCATCTATATTCCTACACCTGCACGGCGCTGAATCTAGATGGCATACGCTCGAAACAAGCAGGCAGTTGCGTATGTGGAAGCTTCCGAAGCTGACTAATGCCTTTGTTGAGCTGCACTCCTGTAAGATATTTGTGGGCGGATATTACCTGGATAGGTCTCTTCAATCTTTAAATTCACGCCCCTCCCGGATACCCACCCTTTTTGCTCCTGCACCTGTTTCTCTGGGTGGTCTCTTAGGGGGTCCGCCAACCGGCTTCGACATCACTAACGTTAAACCCGAATCAGCACCCTGCCTCCACCAACTCTGCGGCGTTTTGGATGAAGAGCCGCGCCGCTGCCTCAAGGAAAGCGGCGTCCCGGTTCTGCATGCGCCTCGTAAGGGCATAGCAAAGGGAAGAGCGCCTTGAAGGGTTGAGGAACTAGGTAACCAGGTTGCAACATGCGCCTGGCTGAAACTAAGCCCGTGGTTTTTGATTTTGGCCGCCCTCGGGCAAAGCTCTTTTGCTAGAAGTGATGGGCATGAGGAAGCTACCATTCACCTGTTAGCACCACATGCGTGCAACTAGCCCGAGATCCTGGTGTCAAAACTTTTCTGGGAAAGGGATTGGGGCGGACTTTGTCTCAGGTGAAGGGACCCATTCTTCAAGGCACAGCCACATGTCTTAAGACACCCGCCAATGCCAGCGAAGCCAAGTCGCATGAGCGCATATGTTATAAGATTCAGCTCCTGCATGGTGAAGGACTCGTGATCACGTCGGATCACCTCAAGGCTTTCACAGAGCAAGCCAATGACTGGCGTAAGGCTGGTCTCTGGTTACTCTCCTGCTGCCCATGTTAGTGCAGGGGTCCTCCAATAGTGCGTCCAGTTCTTTTGGCACGGCTATTGCTTGGGTCTGCAAGCCTATAAGGCCATGCCCTGAAACTGATGTCTGGGTATGGCTGCACTTTACACAAATTCCGTGAGAAAGGGCCAGGCCTCATCCTTGAGGGCTCTGACAAAGGGATCTTCCTGGTCCAGGGAGGGAGCTGTGATCGAACTCCAGTCATCCGACACTGTCAGGCCTCCGCAGGCTTCTGACTGTGGGACCGCGGGGTCTGTTCCAGGTGTAGGGGTTTTTCCAGGCCTTCTAGCGCGGGTGACACGATATCTGGCTCCAAAATCCCTCAGAGTTGGGATATAGCGACGAATGTGCTATCTTCGTTCATGGCATTGCGTAGGGATCCGTTTAATGAAAACCCTTCTTTGATCCTTACTGACGAACAGCCGTACTTATCATAACAATACCACCGTTTTTGCCTGCTTATACTGTTGCTGCTGTTGGTCTTTTTCTTTTTACTGCTTTTGCCATGGCCACCACCATCCCCTGGCAGTTGGTGGCCCGCACGGTTACAAAGAAATGAAGTCTACCATGATGATGTTGAGATGACGTGCGCATGCACTCAGAGCAGTGTACTGTAGATGCTTAACATGTTGGCTAAGCTTGGCCAAAACCATCTCCCCCGCGCATTGCAGGCGACGACTTCACCTTACCTATTCCAGAAGTGGCTAGCTTAAAGTGACGGAAGTTGAGAACTGCACAAGGATCCTCCGAAATCCCAAGGTAGGGCTATGAGATCAACCTGCACAGCCAAAACATGCCAAAACACTTGGATCAGCGCATGCACAGGATGACCCACAGCAGTTTGTAATGGGCCGCATGCATGAGCCTCCCTGGCCAGATGCAGCTGCAGAGGAGGGGGGGTTCACACAACGCACGTGCACCGATACCCTGGGCAGCACGCCACGGCCACTGGGGGGCCGAGCTAGGCACACAGCCCTTTGCAAAGTTAGGCAGAGACTGACGCTTTGCAACACAGAATTGTGGCTGCAGAAGAACAGCAAGCATGCCAAGCATTTGATGAACAACATGTGACTGGTCGCGGGCGCATGCGTTCGATAGCGTGCTCAGGGCGCACGCTCTCTCAGCCAAGGTGACTCAGGTAAAATCCCAATACGATCCATAGCGTTCTCGTAGACTTCGCACACCCCCTAGACCCTAGACAAGGTAAGCAGTCTGGCACCTCTGGAGATGTGTGAATTGCATAGGGGATTGTTAATGACATCATGTCTTCCGAACTATGATCTACAAAGGGGTGATCATGAGATCTCGACCGCATGGACTGACCATGCCAGAACTATCGGCACTATGCACGGATCGAATTTGGGGTGGCTCACATGCAGCGTTTCAAGCATGCATCCCCAGATCCATCAAGCTCCGGTCAGAAGTGATCTTAACTGTTACAGTACTGAGGAACACCAGGAGCTTCGCTGCAGAAACTGAACCAGATCGCCGCTGCTATAACCATGACTCAGACGAATTCTACTCACAGCCGGACCCTTGCAACACAAGCCTGACATGAGACGCCTTGGTATTCCGCGGATTCTATTTTCGGCAGAACTGATCAACATGAGTGGACTTATGGCCGTTGAAGTTGGAACGCGCAATGCGAGCAGCAGCAGGAGCAGCAGCAGGAGCATCATCAAGCTGCGAGGCAATAAGCTGCCACGCCTTCAGTCGCCATCCTCCTCTCCAGAGAGTTCTGGCTGAACCTCACGGCACAATGACAAGATGACAGGATTTACGGACGGAAGAAAACCTACAACAGTGAATGTTGCATTGTTAGACTCACATCGAGCTGTGGGCTTTGTCGGATAAAGTGCTTGTTGACCATGAAAGCTTGAGCTTCTCTCCACTCCTACACACCAACCAAGAAGCTTGCCCACGGCAAAAGCGATGGTTGAAATGTCTCGATGGTTGAATTCGACCAGGCGGTCTTCGATCATCACTTTCCTCGGATACAATACAGGCATAACAGCTTGGAGCTGGGCACTGAGGGGCGTGTTATCGGTTCGACCCCATTCTGAATCAAAAGCACCCCCTTTTGCACTTCAGAAGTTGTGGCGCAAAGCGCATGGCGGACTAGTTTCCAGACAGAATTTTGGAATAGACGTCAGATAATGCTGATGGGTTGCCCACGCCGAGCCTAAACAACTGCAATCAGTCAGAAAATCCATGCATGTTCCTGCTTAGCTTACTGGCCTTGTCGATCTATATGATGTAATTACCAGAAAAAGCAGCAGATGCAGCAAGCATAGATATTGTGAGCATAATCTTCATGATGCAAGCAGGAGCTGCATCATCAGCAGCGACAGTTACAACAAAACCGGGCAGCAGCAGCAGCAGCCGTAGTCGCCGTCACCGTCGCCATGGGCGTGGTCGTTTTCGTGGTCGTGCCCATGGCCGTGGCCGTGGTCGTGGTCGTCGACGTCGTCGTCGTCGCCCGCCGTCGGTCGTCAGTCTTCGGTCTTCGGTCGTTGGTCTTCGGTCGTCGGTGGTCTTCGGTCGTCAGTCGTCCTCATCATCGTCGTCGGCTCTTTGTAGTGGTAGCAGTAGTCGTAGCCGCAGTCGTAGCCGTAGCCGTAGCCGTCGCTGTAGCCGTAGTCGTAGTGTTCGCAACTGTAGAATTAGTAGTAATAATACTAACAATAGTAACACGAACCGTGATACAAACAACAATGAGTTTAGGAATAGCAAGCCGTGGTCTAACAAGTAACGCATGTGCTTCTAAAGATTATGCATCTCTCCCCTAGCGCAAGGCTCCTTCTAATAAACCGCCCACCCCCTCCCCGAGCTTCGTACGGACCAGAAATTGGAGGGGTCGTGATAAAACCTCTGGGGCCTGAGCTCGGAAAAGGCCGAAACCCTACACCCTAGGACCTATGAAGCCCAAAGCCTAAAAGCTAAGCCCTGCACCCCAAAGATTAGACCCTAACCCTGCACCTTGGACCTAATTAAACCCTAAAGCCTCAGACCTACACGCCAAATCCTAAACTCTGAAAACCTAAAGCTCAAGACCGCCCAAAACCCTGAACCGCCAAGTAATCATCACAGCAGCAACTTGTCCATGGTGGTGTCAAAGCCTTCCAAGACCTTGGTCTGGACAAACTGTTTGTCCGGTTTGGCCTAAACCCCAAAAACACTGGTAATGTGGGGGTCCTACATTGGAGCAATGTTGGGATTTCATTGGGATTCTACGTAGGAACACGGGGATTATACAGGGTATAGTATGGGGATCACGTATAGGGATGCAGGGTGCCACGGGTTCGAAGACCAAAGAAATTGGAAAATCAATTGAAAACCTGAATTGTCCTGTCAAGCAACTTCAGCAAGCACTCTCCCTAAACTAGAACCTCAACAATGGCCTTGCATCGTGACTATGAGCAACTCCCTTCTAGCTAGGATGGGATCTTTGCCCTTCACAGATGCTAAGTGGCCGCTGCAGCAGACGCGAGGCCTGAGGAAGCCAGACTGCGATTGCAGGGAGAGCTTGAGGGCACATCATAGTCTCGATTGGCATCCCTCATAAACCCCACCCGGCATTGAGGCGTACAAAACATAGAGCTTGCTACGAGGACTTCCACAAGAGCCTCCGGGGCCCAGATCTTTGACTGTAGGCCATGCAAAGATTCCCTGACCACCTTGATGCATGTCCTCCGCATCTGTAGACCTCACATTGGCCATAATCTAAACTCCGTAAACGGGGTTATATAGGGAAGTATTATAAGGATTACTAGTTTAGACTATAGCTCACATTACCCCACAGTGCAATCTGGCCTAGTGCCGCCATGCTGAACATTCGCGGCGAAAAGTCCCCCATCGTCTCCAGAACGCGGTCTGCGATAACTGAGATGGCTCCTTTCTCCCAGTACCTAACGGCAGCTCATTATCATAGTGCTCTTAAACATGTCCTTGTCATTGGATGTGGTTGGCAGTAGTAGTATCAACCATGATCTCCATAATATTGGCGCGCATATATATATATATATTGTTCTTGGCGATTTCGACAGTGACCTTAGTAGGTAGCTAGTATACCACCTGCATGATTAACCATCGTATTGTTATCAGAATGATGATTGCTGCTTACTAGCCAGTAAACAGAGCCTGAGGCCTGCAACACCCCCTAATAGTACAGCCCCAGACTGAGCCAAAACACGGGGGTCTCCGTGAACGTCAGTGCCCCCCTCCGCGAGAGGTTCCAGCGGAGGACTAGACTAATTAATGTAGCCAAGGCTCACAAAACAGGGGAAGAGAGAAACGCGGACAGCCGGAGCAAAGGAAGGCTAGCCAGCGCGGGACAAGGTCCCCACCACCCCCAACACACGAACTCCCCCCCCCCGGCGAGGCTTGCGGAAAACCACCCAACACCCCTCCTCAGGCCTGAGTCCAGCACGGACAGAGCCATGTTTTTAACCTCGGCCTCGAGACGGCGGGCAACAAGCAACCCGGCCCCGAGGTGGCACCAGCAGACCAGAAGGAAAAGAGGACGGACGAAGAACACGCAAACAAGAAAAACAGCCCGGCGAACAGGCGCCACAAACAGAAAAGAGCCGGAGGACTGGGAGCCGGCCCAGATGGCCAAGAGAGGACAAACAGGAAAGAGCAGGAAGAGGGAGCATCGGCCCAAAGGGCCAGAGAAAATGAAGAAACAGCGCCAGCCCAGAAGCGAATGCAACGGACAGGACAGGACAAACACGGAGCGACAGCCACGTGGGCTAGAGAAAAGGCGCAACAAACAGGCATGGATAGGAAAAGAGCGCGCCAGCCCAGAGGGCCAATGAGGCGCTAAACCAGGATAGGACAGGAAGAGAGGGCGTCAGCCCAAAGGGCAAAAGAGGCGCAACTGAGGATAGGGCGGGAAGCTAAGAGGGGGCACCAGCCAAGAGACTACAGAGGGCCAGAGAATAGGTGCATCCAGCAACAACGGATACGAGGATAAACCTGCCCAGAGGGCCGAGGAGGCGCAAAACCAGGATAGGACCAGAAGAGGGTGCGCCGGGCCAGAGAAGAAGCTCAACAATCACGAGTTGGTAGGACAAAAGGGCCATGGAACAGGAAGAGGGGGCGCCAGCCCAGAGCGCCAGATAAGGAGGTGAGCGCAACAAGCAGAAAAGGAGGAGCGGGCACCAGCGGAAAAAAAAGGTGCAACAAATATGAAATGAGAGGACGTGAGGGTGCCCGCCCAGAGGGCCAATGAGGCGTAAAACCAGGATAGGGCGGGAAGATTGACGTATAGGCGCAACTAGCACATAAGGATAGGAAGAGAGCACGCCAGCCCAGAGGGTCAAAGAGGTGCAAAACCCGTATAGAACAGGAAGAGGGGCGCCAGCCCAGCGGGCCAGAAAGTAGGCGAAACAAGCATGAATGGATACAACGAAAGAGCGCTAGCTCAAAGGGCCAACCCGAGATAGTAGCTTCCATGTTCTTTTCCATTATCCCTATGTATTCCCTGTATATTCCCTATATACACCTAAATAAGCCATATAAAAACCCTGTACAAGCCCTCAACCCAACAAACCAAGGCGCTCTAGCTTGCCGTAGGCGTAGCAGTAGCTGGCCACCTGGTGGGTTATCTTGGGAGCTTGTCATATTATAATAGTGGAATAGAATAGGATGTTATAATATATGATCATATGATATAGTATGTTATATTGTTCAGATGTCTTGCTGGGATCCCGAGAACTCTGCCACATATAGAGACATAAATAAGCGCATGGGCTCTTTCTGTTCATTCAAGTGTGCATGTTTTGTACTTTGCAACATATCCATAGCGGTTACGGGCAACCCTTTTCTGCAAATCACAGTTTTAGAGCTTTGCAGGAAAGCTTCTTCGATGATCAGAAAGTGCCCGGTTCTTGAGAGATCGCCATTTGGGTACTTGTACTACATTGTGACACTTCGACGACATGCCACACTACGAGTATGGAATGAGTGTTAAGCTGGAAGAAAGCCCAAGCCGACCTCCAAGGGCTCAGCCATTTCCAAGCCGGAGTTCATGACTTCTTGTCCTCACATTCAGTGGAAGCACAGCAGACGGATTGCGAACAATGTTGTGGTGCAAGACTGCTAGGTTTGGCTGGCAGTTCACTTGGTCACCAGGAAAGACAATGCCGGGTCAAAGCGTGCAGTCGCGATGCCTACAGCTTCCATCACGCGCTTGTCTCGAATGCCCAATCGCCTGAGAACAGCACCCCACGAGCCCAAGTGAGGCAAAGTGTTCCAATAAAGCAGACCCCTGTGATGCCCAACTTGATCTCAATGCATGAGCGCAAGCATGAAGCAGAACAACGGCGTGCTGAGCAGTGAAAGCTAGAGTGGTCCATGCAATGAGTGAAAGTCAACTTCCCATGCCAAGCCACATGCAACTGTAAGTGATCATCATGCAAGTGTGGGAATCGAAATCTGGTCGGCCCTGCAGTTCAGCGATCACGGCTTTGATGAAGCTGGGCCTCAAGGCATGCAGAGCACTTGCAAGGAATCTGCAGATCAACATGGGCATGCGAGGTATCCGTGCCTTGGCCGGACACCAGAATAGCCCAAAGCCCACATGATCAGGCCAATGTACGATGGCGAGTACCTTGAAAGCGAGTTCGTGCGATCAAGTCACACAACACAGCCCAAAGATGCGTGGCAGTCCAAATTCGCGAAGGTGTTTGCCTGGTTGCTGGTTCATTCGGTTGGTCGCATCTGCAGCAATGGCCGTTGTCAGCTCACTGTCGTAGATGTTGAGCCGGGCCTTTGCTCCAAATTTAAAACATGCTAGGACCCACCAGTGGCTTCGTGGACCAAGCAGCGCAGGCCCAAAGTATGGAGGCGAGCACGCGAGGCTCCTGCACAAACATAGGTGCATGTTGGAAGGTTTAGGAGTAAGTCACACAGTAAACGGGTAGTTCTGGCTGCGAGGTATACACGGCGTGTTCAAGCAGAGGGCGCTCCACACGAGCGATGGAGTCGATCTCCAGAGCTCGCTTCTTCCTTATGACGAGAGTCAGAAAGCTTAAGGCCTGGGATAAGCTCATAGCTTCATTCAAGGGGCGTGGCAGAGAAAAGGCGGATGAAGTTGGGATCCGACTGAATTTGCCTGCGGGCTCAGGATGCTGGAGCCAGATCGTAGCAGGCTCAACTCCAGGAACAGCAGGCAGCCCAAGATTACCAAGAGTAGAATCACCAGGATTCTTCTTGTGCCACAGGTTTTTGTAAGCAGAAACCTATCCAAAAGCTTGCATGAGCTTATGCAGTTGGACCTTCAGCTTTTGCAGCACTTATTCCGCAGCAAAGAATCAAACTCAAGAACCGGCCATCCTTCAAGCCCAACCAAACGAATCTTAGGAAAGCTAGCGCGGAACACAAGCTCCGCGAGCTTACGCGAGGATTGCGCATGTAGGTTGCAAACCTAAGCACGCCAGGCTCCACGCTGTTTGTATGTACGCCCTGCAAGTCAAACAGCGAGTTAATTCAAGCTGGCCGCCATACCGCGCTGGCTGCCACATTCCAAGACTTTTGCACTGCGAAGGCTAGCGTTGGACATGTTCATCCTGCCGGCATGATTATTTCCAACAGACGGCCTGGTCGCCAGCTCATCATCCCGCGAATTTAACCCACACTTGTGGAGTGCGGTTGCGCAGTTGTAGATGTCAAATTTCCTGGGCGCAGGGCGCTTCTGAGGTGCCGTCTCCCGTACATCAGCTGTGGGCCACCTTGCTTCTCCTTTCGCATGCTCACTTCAGGCAAGCTGCGGGAGGTACTCCTCCACAAGTTTGAGAACCTCAGGTGGAACGAAATGAACGAACACCGCAAGACCTCACGACTGAATGATGCTTCCTTTGACTTCAAAATTGACAGCATGTTGCCAGAGCGTGGGGCTCTTGAACAGAACGGTACCTCTGAGATAGCAGGTGCCCGGAACGTTTTGTCTCTTGGTTTTTGGGCCCCGTTCTACTCAGACACCAAGGCCGCTCTAACAGCCCAAACAAGAATTTTTAGGAGGATCCATGCAAACTGCATCCATCTCTGAACTCTAGACCCTCCTTACTCCCGCTGTCCCATCTGAGAACGGTATTTACTGAGCGTCCCTTCCTCAAAATTCCCTTGCCTACGCTCCCTCCCAACAGATGTTGTCGCAAGCTGGGCAGGCTTGTGCACTGGTCAGAAGGCTTCCTCGTTGCAACTAAATCCTCCAGCGCAAGAATTGCTGTAACATGCAAAGTTGGATTTTTGAATTTGACGGCTTCTGGATGCCAGGAATGCTTGCCACATGGGTCTGAGTAGTTTTGGCCTGTTATGGATGCGCCATGATTTTGGAACCTGCTTTGAATGCAGCATCTCAATTTGCACTTGCACAGCCACAGTGCGCATCAGGGGATTCGAGCTTCTCACCTCCCTGAACTCCCTCACGATGCAGTCAATACCCATATGAACAACAGAAACCGTTATAAACAACAGTGTCTCAATAGACTCCTCTACCCGGAACGCGGCATGCAGCTCTCCCCCTAATGACCCTAATAACCCCAAACTCTAAACCCTAATCCCCTAAACCCTAGACCCCAATAACCCTCAAGCAAATGACCTTAATGACCCTAAGCCCCCAAACCCTGAACCCTATTCCAGACTGGCCGCAGCCTGATAATGTGACTCTGAGCCCAGGCGATGATGGATGATCAAAGAGGAGCTGCTGCGAGAGGGAACCTCATCGATCCTGGGAGCTTAGGATCAGAATACTATTGCTGTAGTAGGGGTTTAGGGTTTGGGGAGAAGATCTCGCATATTATGGTAGCTTAATATACTACAGTAGACTAGAATAGAGGATAATAGAGGATAATCTACTACATGTTACTATAGAATAGTAACTTATAGCATATAGAATAGTGACATATTGTATATCATCGACTATATGTACATCGATCCTGGGAGCTTGGAGCAAGATTGCACAGGGGGAGAGTTATGGAGCTTTTCTATGATCTCCCTTTACGATGCCTTCCTGTAAAGCCCTCTCTCGTGGAGTCACGTAAGGCCTGTGGTGGTTTATGCGATTCTTGCTAGTAGCCTTAGCATTCGGGTGCGGCAAGGAGACCAGGGGATGGCGTGTTCTGTGCTAACTGCCAGCAAGGGACATGAAGGAGAGGTCAGGCGCGGCGCCCAGCACCGAAGGCTCCAGGTCATAAAGCGGCTCTTCGGGCTCTGCTTCGCTCACTTCGGGCTGCCTTAGCAGAGCTCGCATATCAGATGGCCCCCTCGCTGCCCGCATTACAAAGGCCAGCATGCGCATGTCCCACGTCTTGCTCCAGCTTGCTCCGGTGCCCAACAAACTCGCCACTCTGAGGACCTATCCAGCCCGTCACTTCGGGATTCCTAGCATTCGCACCCAGAATCTCCAGCAACCAGCAAGTGGATCTTGCCTTCTCCGTTCTCTGAACTTGAAGAATTCAAAGCACATAGAATGTTATGTGCCAGCCTACCCCAAAAAATGGGTTAAGTCTGTTCTGGAGTTTCAGATGCTGACTTGCTTTTCTCTACGTGGGTCAACATATCTTATGAAACTGTTTCTGTGTTCTTCTATTTCTTGATTCGCTAGTTATGTCAGTTGCTTATCTGGACAGAATAAGTTAGCCAGAGAGAGCTGCCCAACAGAGAGCAAGACTCACAGGGCCTTCAAGCAAATGCTGGGAGGGAGTAACGGGTGGGTTCTCCATTGTTTGAAAAACTTGCCAGAGCCAAGAAAAAAGCCACACACTTCTGTAAACGCCCCGAGAATTTGCTGCAACCGATGAAAAAAACTGGGACTGCCAAAGCCAAGCAGCGCATGGACACACACATGTCCTCGGTGGAGCAAGCCGTTACAGAATGTCATGCTTTATGGTCATCCAGGCAGCGACAGGAATGTGGATCCCTTTTCTGGGGACCGAAAGGGACCCATAATCTTCAGATAGCAGTATACCTTGGAAAGTCACGTTCAACGTCTCCCGGGGTCTTGAAACCACAGCGGAAAGACGCCCATTTCAAAAATTCCCCTCGTACATTCTCCCATTTTGAGGTATCTCCGAGGCTCTGAGACGCCTCTGCAGGCCACGGGAGCGCCGGGCCCAGCGAGGAAGCCCAGCGCAGGCGCAGGCCGCTATGGCGGTGGAGGGGCCCAGGCGGGACCTTTTCAGAAGAAAAAGATTCTGAACCCCTCCAAAAAAAGGGACCACTGGAATACCCTAAAATCCTCTCAAAAGCATAAGTTGAAAAAGTCAACTTTAAGATGGTTTGGTAGAACTGGCAGATTGTTGAGTACGGAATCATGAAGGGGTTCCAAGGAATAGCATAGGGATCAGACTATAGTTCGCAGGAAAATGAGTTTTCGCTGAAGCCTAATCCCCAGACCTTGAATCAAGATCCCTGCCGGTGCCTGCGCAGCTCAGGTCTCAAGACCTTCGGGGAGGGCCTCAGTTCAGTCCGGAAATTTCCGCACAGACACGTGAGGAACTTGCAGATGACCAGGTCGTTTGTCTGCCATTCTCCATGATGCACCAACAATCACCCTAGTACTAGCTTCCATTTCCTTCCATTGCGCTATCCATATTCTCTTCCATCTGAATTCTCCATTATTCCAAGAATACCCTGAATCCCTTAACCTCAGCAGTGCAGCTTGGCAGGGAGTGGCTGCCATATCGGCTCGACGCAGCCACGGCTCAAAGCTGCCAGCGCCATGCTGGCAGAACTTCGAACATTCACGGCTGCGGAGATTGCAAAATCTAATTTCTGACTCAATCTTGGGGTTATATTGGGATAACGGAAAATAAGACGGAAACTACTATAATATAATAGGGTATATATTGGGGTTAAGCTTTATGGTCAGCTGTAACCTGTTGCAGTGGCCGGCTCTTCAGCGCCCGTAAGTTGCTGCAGAGGCGGGATTACATCACAGGCAGCAGCGACTGGATTGTCGATAGGGAACGTAGCTCACTTGAAAGCGTCCTCAGCCACAGGCCCCAAACCCACAGCTCAGTGTCATCGGGATTGTTCCTGGCTTGGATGCGCTCAGGACAATTGCCTTTTGTCCGTTTGTCAACATGAACATGAGCCATTCCGTTGATGCCTACTGCTTAGGCAAGGGACGGGCGATAAGTCGCCGCCAGGGTGTGCTGCTCGCAAGCAGCAAGCCTGAGAGCGCAACGTCGTGCGATCCCACATTCACACAGTGACATCGGGGTGATCTGTTGGCAGTCTAGATTTTGAAAACTCCAAGGGACCGCAAAGACCCCGCCATGGCATGTCAGGCAAAAGTTGACTCAGGCTACTACGATTGGATGCATCGGACCTCCCCCTCGTGCTGGAAGGGCTCAAACAGTATCGGTGACAGCCTCAGGAACATGCCATGCAGACATGCGCCACGACGCTGAGAAAGATAATGCTTTCGCTGCATGCTATCCTCAACAACGTTTGCTATCCTGAAGGTACCACTACTTCCAAGCACTAAGTCACTAAGTGCTGAGCACATGGTTTGCTCCGTCTCGGCACAAAGACGTGTCCCTGCCGCAAACCTCACAGGCAAGCTTGCTTCGGAGGCTGTTGGATTGAGGCAGTGCAGATTCAGTGAACAAGCATCGCTGGAAGATGCTGGAAGCCATTGAATGTGGGAGTACTGGGGCACAAACCCACAGCTGATCCTTTGAGTCAACTATGCAGGTGTGGTACCTGGCGCAAGAGATTGAATCTGTTGTCTTTCCTGGGGTGTTGCGTCGTTTCTCCAGCTTTCGGAGGATTCCTAGCTGGAGTGGGTTTCTTCGTGACTGATTCTGGCCCTACCCCAATTAAGCTTGACGTTCTCACTCTAGGAGGGCGCATGGCACAGTGGACTTCCCTCACATTGTTGGGCATTGGCACCTGTGTGGCTGCCAAGCACGTTTGATTGGCAAATACATGCTGGATGAGAATTCAAGACACTCACAGACATGCAATTGCCCATACAGATTTGTTAAGTGCTGGTTGGCACTCCACCAAAGCTGAATGTGGCAAGTGATTGCACGTGGGGCCCTGGCGAGTGTGGGAACATATTCATTCTTCATGTCCTGAGTGAATGAACATACAAACCGCTGGCAAGGTGCGGCTTTGCAGCGAGAATCCAGCAATTTGGCACGTATCGTCTGGCTGAGGTCACTTGAAGTCCAGCGAGCATTTCCGGCCTTCTGTCAAGCCCCAAAGCCCCCAGGACCCACACCCCATTTCCCAGTCTTCCGAACCAGCCGGTTCCGAAGGTCAGGAGTCGACCGTCCTCACAGCACCAACGCTCCAAAGCGTACATCAGAGGTACGCGTGCGGGCTTTGCACTATAGAGGAAAGCAGGCTAGCAGGCAACAGTGCGCGAGCAATCTCTGAACACGACGTGGCAAGAGTGAATACCCTCGGAGCTTGTCGAGGCCTGGGTGACAAGGGCGGAGTGTTGCGACCTCGGAGAAGAACAATGACAATAACCATGGCAAAGTCCAAGACCGCGCCAAAGTCTCTGGGGCTGCGGCCCGCAGGCCACACCACGGAGCACACGGAGCTGCCAAGTTGGGAAAGTGGCTCAGGAAGAAGCCCGGAAAGATTTCATGATTTCGTGGAGGTTGAGACTCCCAACTTCGACCCATACAGGGCTGCTTTTTTCTCCCAAGGCGCTCTGAAGCCCCTTGTCACCCTCTCCACCTTTAATCTCGGAGGTCAGGAGGCTGCCCTCGGAAGCTGGGTTTGAAAGGGCATTTCAGGCAACACGGTAAGGTAGGAGTATCGTAAGGTGTCCAAGTGTTGGTGCTTCAGGTACGGGCACTTTGACTGCGGAGGGGCAGCCCCAGTCAGATGCAAAACAGTCCGAAACAGATCAGCATCAACGCCCGGTTCCAGCAGCCCCTCCAAAGCTCGGCCCAAGTTGCGCAGCAACAGGGAATACTAAAGGCTGAAGTTTTGTATGCATCTACACTGCGCCTGCTAACGTAAGCTTAAGAAACTCAAGGGCGCCCTTCTGGCCCAAGCTTTGGAGTTGCAGCAGGAACAAATTTCTACCTGCCATGCGTCCGGCGCGGAGTCAGCTGCAATACGAAGAGTTGGATATCACTGCTTGCTCTGTATGATCTGGCAAGGGTAAGCTGGCCCCAAGACTGATTGATGTTACATCGTGTTGCGTACGTGAATTTAGTAATGAGGTATAACAGCCTTGAAAATGACACATGCGGCTCCATCAGCAGTCTTCAGAGGCGGCGGCCTCCAGCCCTTTCAGGGCTTGGCCATGCTCCGGACTGCAAAAACTCATTAAGCGTGCTGTGGTAGTTTCTGACTTGGAGGTAAGCAAAGACATATGCTCTTTCAGTGGGCTCAGGGAGAGATCCCCGCTTTCGGAAACTCCCACCTGGCATCCTCTCCAGCGCATGCCCCAAGCCCTAAGCCCTAAGCTTTAGGAATGAATGTGGTTACGTTCCGCATCGCACAATTCTTCATAAGCCCATACCACAACTGGCACAATGCCAACTACTATCTTGCTTCAGCAGCTCCACTGAAGCTGGCATGTACAAACCAGGCCTTGATAGTTGTGGAGAAATTGCAGTGGTGCCCCTTATCGGGCGTTGCTGATGTCTTACAGGGTTTGTGCTCAAGGGTTGGAAATATCAGCTTAAATGGGAGTGCTGGTGTTCTGCGGACTTATGGCCTTCGCCTGGCATGTCCTCTGCTGAAAACCTTCCGCTGCCTGAGTGCTAATGCCCCAAGCAATCTTACGCGAAGGCCGCAGTCTACTGCCAGGTGTGTGCTGGACCGCTTACTTGGATACAACCAAATACCACGAATCGAACACCTACCTGAAGATGCTGCCTTCAAGGAGCCTCTCCCGCATGCGGAGAGAATCAACGGATGCCGGATATGCCGGCTGCAGCTTTCTCAAGCATCTGTCCAGATTCCGAGCTTTCGGACTCTGACACGAACCTGGGCCCCTGGCGGACATCTGAGAAAGCTGCGCTCGTAAAAAATAACCTAACAACGCCACATCCTCTTTGAGGACCCAACTGCAAACAGTGGTTCGTAGGCCCAGCTCCCAGTACTTAGTAAACCCATAAAATCAAAGACAAGTGCTCCATGCCTTCTGGGGCATCTTAGTATTGTGGATGGACTGGACAGACTGAAAGTATCGCTTTGCTCTGCATGCGGGACATGTCAGTGTTGTTCTGTGGCGAGATTTTGGATATGAAACGCTCATGCTTGCATGGGAGCTGAGGCATGCTTTAATGCAAGGCAACGGGTTGCGCAAACAATCTTCGATCGTGCCGATTGGCTGGGCCTGCAGGAGGTGCCATCATGTAGCGTTCAGGCATTTTGAACACCCATAATTGTCCGATCCTGGCTTGCGACTCATACTGCTTGTCACCTCCCAGTCCCAGTCGCTTCGCCATGACTCCGTCCCTGCTGTGCTTGGACAAGCCTCACCAAGGCCGATCATGTCGGCGTTCCAGTCTCCTGCCGGAAGCAGAACGGCGAACAGTATCTGAAAAGACTGGTAGCCAGCAAGACACGGGCAATGTTTTCCTCTTTTGCCTGTTCCAGACACCTCTTGCAGGTTTGACTGTGTTGGCTTGCAGGTGACAGACTTTGTCGTGACGTTTCATGTTCAACCCACGGGTCATACTTCGGCTTCCAGTCGGTCCTCCGGGATACTGCTCTGGACACCGTTGGCTTGGCTTGGAGGCGCAATCGACTCCTTCTTTGCCTCAGCCAAAGGTCAAGCAGGGCATGGAGGCGCAGTCCAGGCAGTTCAGGATTCGGCTACGCCTGGCCTTCGCTTTCGGAACTGTCGTCGCTTTGGCTCCGTCCTACGCACGCAACGATCTAACAAACAGCCTGCAGGTGTTTCTTAGCGAAACCAACAAGCCGTCCTTCTTCTTGGGCACGTCTGTTTGTGCCATGTCCTGCAGAGTCACATGAGCGCTTTTGCTTACGGTCCCACACTTCGCTCAGCATGCCAGAGAACCATGGCTCGCAGCAAGCTGTCCTTCAAGTTGCCAGCCAGCTCAGTCATGCAGCCGAGCAGTTCGGTCATCCGTGTCTCGATGCGCCCCAGGGCATCGATGCACTTGGCATCCTTCCAGCGACTGGCTGCTCTTTCTGGGAGACTCCGGCCATGTTTACGAGTTGGCGAGCTCGCATTTTGCATAAACGTTGTCAGTTCAAGCAAAGAGTTGCCCCCGTACTGTCACATGTCAGAATTTCCTGGTCACATTGACGGTCCTGAAGTGGCGCCGCAGCGTTTGGGGCCGGCCGCATGTCCTGCACACACAAGATATCTGGAAGAGAGAGATGCTTTGAAGTGACTTGCCCTGTCGCCCTGCGAGCCGGCTGATTGGCAAAACCGTGCTCTCCGCAAAGGTCCCCAAGGCCCGCAAGGCTGCCAGGCTCCTTCGCCTCGTCCTTTTTCTCCTTGGCCTCCCTGGTCTCACTGGGATTGCCGACGATCTGGGCCTCCGAACAATGCGGCACACTGTAGTCACTGGGTGTCGCTGCTCCAGCCCCGAGTTCGTTGGCGATGCATTGGCTGTAGGACAGCCGTGGCGTCATTAAAGGACCAAGCTAAGCCAGCCGCCTATCTGACCAGTCTAAGGAGGGGCTGAACCTTCTCAAAATGGGTTATGACAAGTACTCTTTTCCCATCACCCCGTGCGACGAGTACAGTAACTCGTAACGGCCGAGGCCATTCACCTTTCAACCCAGCTGTTTCAGCACCGCACGCCCACCTGGGGGAAGCCTGCCTTGGCCTCCAGCTGCACAGCAGAGGGAGCAACTGCTTGTTGCTCCGGGGCCATGGATGCCTGGGAAGCCACGAAATAAGCTAATCTATCCATGTTCGCCTGCTGAATTCTCCGGACCTTAGAAGCTGTTACGCAGTTTTGTGTTGTGAGACGCTGCAGCGCCTAGGTTGGTTAAGCCTGAATACAGCTCCAGGCATGTAGGATTGTGATACACCAGAAAACAGAAAAAATCCAGCTTGAGGCAATGTCAAGGCTCTCTCGAACCACCTGGCAAGCCGCTCTCCGCCTCTGAAATCCTGCCAGCAATCCCCACACCCAAACAAAACAAAACACGGTCCTCCTTGAAACGTGCGCCCATGCTGCCCTGAGTCCTGGATCCATACTTTGACGTGCTGCCTAGACATACTTCAACATCCACCCAAGCAGCATCACAGCGTCAGTCCAGGGACTCTACTAAGTTACTATATCTTCTGCCTCTCTGATCCCCTTGCGTAGTCACTATGCATGGCCCAATCCCACTCAAAACATTCATCGACGCCGTACTCTTTCTGCAGACAATAGACAATCTAGCTGTGATTTGGGCTGCTATGCATATCTGACACAGTTCTCCTTCATCATGAAGGGAAAGGGGCGTCCAACCTCTTCAGTTACCCAAGATTCTGAAACGAGTTGCACATGTCTACTGGCCAAGGTAACTATGGAACAACCTGGCAGCAGCCAACGGGCGTACTGTGGCAACTGTTCAGATGCTGCTAGACAGGCCGGCATTGCTTCTTGAGATCAAACCCATCCTTGATTTTGTATCGCATGTAATGTAGGGGCCCAGATTTTTGAAATGCAGCCACGTCAGGACACACAGCACCTTCCCATGAAGACCCCTTGCATCTGCCAGGTCCTCCGGGGTGACCCAGTTTCCTCAGCGACCGACACACGGAGCTTGAGGAAGGATCCTATGAGAGGTTTTTGTGAGCCCATACAAGGTTCTTTAGGAATACTGCTGGGTGTACATATCCGTTGGCCGTCCATGTGGGGAGACCAGTAAATAGAGGACTGAAAGCAACATAAGCAAACACATACGAAGGAACTTCCCGTTTTATGTGCCGTATAACAGACCCTCAGAAGGTTTAAGACATCTCCCCAAAAAGCGGCTTTCCTTGTTCCACTTGAAGAAATCTTTTCTCACGTGTAATGGACGCGGCAGCTTTGCAAAGCTCCCCTTACAGTAAGTTTGTACCATGGCCTGTATTCCCAGCATTCCAACTATGTCTAGAGGTCTCTATGGTTTCTACTCTCTCTCTCAGGCTGTCCTGCAACTAGTTTTGCCATCCTTCCAAGCTGCTTGGTCCATACTTGGCTGCATCCTCCTCAGGCAGCAACCTGAACGACACTGTAGATCTGCAAGTCACTGGGATTCCCATCCCGAATGACTGTCATGGATTCCAAAGTCATCCTGGGATGGTGAGGTTTGTACGGAGATCTGTAAGCAGAAGCTGCCACGAAAGGTGCAGATTTAGACCTTGGGCCATGGAGAAGGATGCCATGGTAGCTCCTTCATGCGCCTGAAAGCCCTCGACCGTCGGCTCTGGCGCTTCGTAGGGATCACTCCAGAGAGGCATGAGGACCTGAGATTCAGTTTGTCAAGAAAACATGTCAATCCTCAAGCAGCTGCCTCTTGCCGCCGCAGTGAATGATTCCAGCAAGCAAGTCCGAATGTTTGCCTCATGCCCGAAGAAAATGCCTTGGCAAGCCTTGCAATCGCAAGGCTAACACCTGGTGCCATCGTTGCTCTTTGCAAGCTAAGCGTCTTTCCTCCCTCCTCCTTTTTTGGATCCTGGCAGGCCCTGCGGATTTGGTCGGGCTGCCAAAACTCGCCTCAGGCGCAGAACCATTTCAGAAGCAGGTGCTTGGCAATCTCTCATCTGCAGGAGCATGGCCGTTTACATTCGCCTGCAAGAAGAATCCGGTATTGAACGCTCACCATTCTGAATTTGTAAGTTCCTGGTTGCCAAGGGTCAGTCTGCTACCAGCGCCTCCGTGGGATTCTTCCTATGGCGTTGCAGTGATTGCAGCGCGACCTGAGATGATTGACTTGGAGCTCATGCGTGTTGACTGCAACTGGACGCAACTGGATGCAACTGGATGCAACCAAGAAAGTCCACTTGTTGCACGCTTGAACCTGCCCACCGAGCTGCGATGTTGTCGTAGATGTGGCGCATGAAATCCTTGGAGACTTTCTGGTATATGGTAGGCCTATATGAAGTTTATGGAGGGTTGCCTTGATTTTGGGACTTCCCTGCACATTATCAACTGTCGAACCTCCACAGCCTCTGCATGCAACATGCTGCTGTCTCCTTGCTGCAAGCCGGAGAGGACTTCCATACGTAGCTAAACCCTAAACCCTCAGCCCTAAATAGTAGTTTCCATTTTACTTACTTTCCCTTATCCCCAATATAACCCCAATATATCCCTATTATTACCCCAATGGGTGGTCCTTTATTCCCTGGAGCCCTTCACCCGCTAAGTTGCGGTGCATGTGGTGCCGACGAGATGCTGCAATGGGAAAGTCCAAGTCATCCTGCGACATTCTCAGCTTTAGAGAGCTTGGCCCTTTTAAACTGGTTCTTCATAAGGAAATCAGGGAAGATGATCCCTGCGTAATATCTTCTAAGAACCAGTAAGTTTAGCTGGGTGTCTACTTCAATCTCTTGATGCCCTGTTAGTCTTGAAAGCTTCAGGTCCGCACCTTGCCGAAGGGATCTGCAAGTTCTCCTGCAAGCGAACTGAAAAAGCAGCACCACAACTGGCGGAAGCGCCCCCTACAAAGCCAATCTCCTCGCTTTTCAGTACCACATGTACCACAGGTCAACATCATCTTGAAAGGGGACCTTAAAAGGATTGTTTCAGCCGACCTGAAAGTTGTCGTAGCGCAAGAAGCACAAAGGTCACCACTGAATACCTGGAGATGCTGGAGCTGGCAACAAAATCAGAAATTGAGAATCACGCTATGCCTTTACACTGGTTGTTGCACACCGTTCAAAAAACTGCAGAGAGATGTGATATCTAATTCTTGGACGCCCACCTGTTACAGTCTGTGCCCACGATGCTTGCCGAAGATCTCAGCTCAACTCATGCATGCGAGCAGCGGGAGGAAACCCAAACAGTAGGAAGGTGCGTCGTGCGCTTCGACGAGGATCAAGCAGCCAATGCCTCGCTACCAATATATATCGCACCTAATATTTAGAGCTACCTAAATGGGACCCCAATTTTGGGAACTACCCATATATGCCCTATGATTCTTTACTAATTTCCATTTCGATTATCCCTATACAACCTCGGACTCCCAAACGGCTGCATGGGAGGATGGAAGGGAACCTGGAGGACCGCGGGCCTCTTTGGATCCGGGGAGCATTTCTTGACACTTCTAGCCTAGGAAAGAGCATGGCGCATGCTACGTTTAAACGTAAACCCCAATTGAGTTTGGAGTTGTCCTGATGCAATTGGAAAGGGTTCCTGCCGGCAAGAGGCAAATATGAGTTTGATGTGTTCTGTTATGGCATTTGAAACCCAATTCTGAACCTGCAGGGTTCTGTACGTGACAAGGAATTCCCAACAATTGAAAAAACCTTTTGGGGTGGACCTCCACCCGCCAGGGGCTGGCTGTCCGCAGCCAGATACACTGAGTCACTAGGTGCTCAAGTTTACACATCCTTGCATTAAGCTTCACACCTGTGTATGTGAAACCTGCAAACACATCATTTCAAAAAGCCTAGCCTAGCAGCTTCAAGCGACCCAAAGCCTGGGCCCTGCCTGTAGCGAAGACAGTGGAGGAGATCAGGATGTTGAGGAGGTGGAAATAAGAGAATGGGACTGGCATGTTCTGGATGCTCCTGACGACTCCCGGCATTCCGTAGGACTTGACTTTGGATACTTTGGTCATTGTCTGGGCTTGGCCTGGTCAGTGCGAACAACCTCTGAGGCAAACAGTTCGTCCTGACACGGAGCGCTGAAGAAGCCATCAGGTCTATCATGGTGTACATACCTGGATCAACAAGCTGCTGCAGAGGCCGCCCAACAACTCTTGTGATATCACCCGCAACTACCACAACATGTCATGTTGGAATTGTCAGAAAGACAGCAACAGCCAAGCGACGGTTCGCCATGCCGGAGAGCTCGGGCGGGCTGTAAGGCTTGTGTTCCGCAACCTGGGCGTGGCAAGCTGGGTACCACCTTCTTAAACTTTACAAGCCAGGCTGGCCCAGGTTCAAACACAAGAAGATTCAGAAAATCAGCAAACACGGAGCTGCAGAGCTGGGCAACAGTTTCCATGCTGGCGCCATGTCCAAAGTCATGCCAAACATCCCTCGATATCCACACCTCCTCTAAATAAGGGAACGTGGGGGAGTAATGTGTCCGAGCAAAGGGGCCCGGAGAATCCGCACTGCATCCTTGACAACATAGCTGGCCCAGTGCAGGAGAGTCGTGAACCTTTGCAGGGCAGCTTTCATTTGCAGAGCAGCAATCCGAAAGTGTGTTTGTTAGTATCTTACATGAACGCAATTTCCCAAGCTTCCCATCCCAAGCTGCCACTCATACTCCACCCTTGAGGACTAGAGCTGCAACTGAGCCGCACTGTCCCTGGATAGTCGTGCAACTTGTCCTGATCAACAGCTAACTTCTGATCAGGGCCTCGAAGCCGCTTCCCAAGCTTGGCTC